TTTTATTGTGCTATCAGAATTGCAATTGTGAAAACCAGAATGTTTGCTGTAAACCGCTTTAGCAATTTTAGAACAGTAACCTACTGATATTTCTCATAATTTGTATTATCGTAGCTATTTATTAATTAGCCCTAGATTTCAGAGCTTTTTAAAATAATATTTTAAGAATTCAGACTAGAATCATTCATAGGAAAATGGATGCACATTGAGGCCATATTCTTAAATAAAATAAATGGAACACACATGTAAATACCAAATAGTTTCTCTGGTGTGAAAAACTAAAAGTGTAAATAAGATCCAAATTGTATAACTGATACTGTAAAATAGGAAGAAAAGGGTTAAAGGTGTAGGGGAAGTGGGAAGGGTAGGGGAAAGGAAATAAGGGAAAAGAAAAAATATGAGAACAGGAAAAAATGGAAACATTGTCTTTGTAAATAAGGAAGAGTAGAGGGGTGAAGGCAGGGCAGGCTATGGGGAAAAAGTGAGAACCTGATAAGTCGTGTAAAGGTACAAGATACTAATGATAAATGTAACTGTACTGTGTACTTAAAAAGTACCAATAAACTCAATGAGGAAAAAAAAAAGAATTCTGGAAGAACCAGACCATATCCCAAGCTCTCAATGAATCTACACCTAACACTGAACTTACCTATTTTTCTAAAATTTCATTTCTCCAACACAGTTTTACTGCTCTGTTTATTAACAGTTTATCATGGTATTGGACTCATATCAACCTTACATTCAGTTTGCACAGCTTAACAATTTCAGTACTGGCTGCCTTGGCATAAAACCTGCCAAATACTTAAGCTGGTATGCAGTTCATTGTTCTATTGCCTGGTGTTAGGTTGGCAGTGTCGTGAGCCAACCCATTTCTTCAGTGGAATGCTAAGAAGTCTCACCCAGTCTAATATGTGTTCTTAAAGGCATCAGAACCCCATACTTGTCTGAGTTCTTACCATAAATCTCTGTGATAAAGAGTTTGACCTTTGCATATGATAGCTTTCAGGATAATAGAAAATAAAATAATTAACTCTTTGCAACTAACAAGGATTTAACTGGTTATGAGTAAAGATCTGATAAGAGTTCATTACAATTCAATTAACAATGAAATTTTGTTATTTCTTCAAGACTTAGTATTTTAATAACTAAAACTATGACTGAGAGCAGTATACCTACATTATTAGATTTCTAAGAAATTCGTGCAATTTTTGTAACACATATTAGTAGCATACTCAACAAACACATGCTCAGTTTAACCTAAAGAAGGTTAAGCATTACTTATTATTCTTATCATTTTATAATGTTTCTCAGGCAATTTAATATATCAAATAATCCTAATTAGTTTCACTGCTCTCTTTTTTATAAAGAAAAGGAATAGGCCTACGTGGAACCAATACTTCAAGAAAATCTTATCAAAACTTCTTACATTAAAATTCTTTTTGGAAGTTATTTAAATTTTCAAAAAGTTCAAAATACTTGATTAAAATAGTATCACAGGTCACTATGAAACAACTGTCACTCATTTAGCCAGAATGACAATTAAAACACTGTAAATTCAAATACAGAAAGTGATAGTTGTAGATAAACAAATAAAAACCACTTGGCTATTTTAACAAAGAGAGCTCAATTTTTAAGTCGTCAAAGACCAAATAGAGGCAGAAGGAAGCACAGGAAATTATCTTCATAAACAGATGTTTGTGTACAAGATTGATTAGCTAAAATAGAAAAGAGAAGTTTCCTCAATTCCCCATTCATAGCAGAAAAGTACTTCAAAAGAAACTATTCTCTGAATATAAAGAGGCAAGTTCTAGGTTCTCATCAGTGTACTTTTGATGCGAGTACTCGTTTTAGGAATATTTATAATTTCCTTCTAATCTTATCTTGACCACATGTAAAAATCGCTTTCCCAAGACTCTTCTTCCATCCACCTGTTATACTTTCATATCCATTCAGTTTTGTTCCGTGCTTTTCCTTGTTCTCTTTTCAGAACCCCCAGTCATTCTAGTTTGAGACAAAAATTACCTCGCATCTCCCCTTACAAACAGAACACGTTCTCCCACCTTACGGTTCTCCTTCCCAGCAATACATTGTGTCTTCCTTGCATACTTAGAGATGCAGCTGTTTCCCTTGTGATTTCTACTTTTTAGTTTTATGTGTTAATGAGAATAATTAACCCTTAGTGACCTAATTATCAGTGAACAATAGGAAGCCAGAAATGAACTGTCTGTCACACCACTAAAGTGTAGACTGGTAAATCTGTGAATCATGATGTATATCTTTCTTTCTCGTGGTACAATCTGTCAGCATGGCACACGGCATGATTTCTAACAGTCTCTTAATGATGAGAGACAGGATTTTAGTTCTGTCCTCCAAGGATAAATTGTTGGTGCAGATTTCCCTTAGCACAAATTCCCTCAGATTTCTCTTCTTCATGAAAAATAATGGTGAAACATTTTTGTATAAGGAAAGATATATTTCATGTAGAATTTTGACCTTATTTCATATATGATTTTAATCATTAGCAATGTTGCTAGTATTAGTTATGAAAATAAGACATTAAACAGCTATTGTCTTATGTTATTCTTCTTTATGAAAATTTTTATAATATGGAGATAACCTGAGTTTATTTTAATGATAAACCTAGCTAGGGAAAGTTGCATAAATATGTTACATTTATTCATCTGCTTTATACAAACTGACATTATTTAGCTTTTTTTTCTTGGATAATAATTAGCCCAAAATACATTAACTTGAAACATATTCTTGGTTAATGTCTGCCGTTCTAAGAGTTTAGGGAAAAAAATAAAATAAGAGTTAGGGAATCCTTAATTTATATAACCACTTTTCCCTAAGTCAGTTATAGAGTTCTTCACCAATTTTATTTTGGTAATACTGAGAGGTTAAAAAAATACCACACACAGAAAGTAAACAGACAGATATATATATGAATACATAAATAAGAATAGATCATATAGCTTTCATTTTAAAATTTTAGCCATAATCTGGGTAAAATAGTGCAGTTTCCTGTGATTCGTGGAAGATTCGTGGCTGAGCTGGTTTTCTGCCCAGTGGAGCAAGATTCCTGGCCCAGAGAGCCAAAGCTTTTGCCTAATATTTGTGGAAGAAATTATGAATATTTTGTGCCTTCTGTAAGGAATCTTTTAAAAACCCAATCTTTTGTACATTTAATCATCTAAAAGTCTCAGTGCACCAACTAAAGACTGCCTTCCATTGCTTTTTGGAGCAAATATTTGTTTCTTTTCTAATCCATCTCACAAGTGAAGAACTCTAAGTTAAAACTTCCCTGTCATGGCTACTCTAAATGCAAACTGACTTTAGTAAGCTTAATCCATTTCTCCAAAAATATATGAGTTTGGGTCCATAATGTTTATACATAAAATTAAGAGTCAAACGAAGCTGTACTCGATGGAAACTACCTGAGACCTCTACCCAGTCCTGGTCCAGTTATTCATCCCATCAAATTCTGAAGCCTGTCCATTAGAATAATTGCTCAAATACAGTGGGCAAGTTCGACACGGAAATGTGTGGCCTGAGAGGAGCTCGCCTGCCCCCTTCCAGTTGCTAAGGGAGCACAGTGGACCCAGTGGGCCTGGGAGGGACTTTCCCCTGGGCCTTTGATGCTCCCGGCATTGCTGGTGGCCCCTTCCCGTCTGTTGGCACCAGACTGCTAGATGAAAAGCCTCAAACAAACTCCGTTTCGCAAATTTCTTAGACAAAGAACCACTCGGGAATGAGGCAGCACCTGACCAGGGCAGGCTGAGCCGCTCTGAGCTGTGCAGACAGCACAGTGTTAGGTCCTGCACGGGGAAACTGGGGAGATCAGCGACTGGAGACAGCGAGGCATCTTTCTTCGTGGGTCGGCCTGATGTGAGCGGTGGCTGCCTGAGGTCGGCGGAAACCTAGCTGCTAGGGAACTGTAACCCTTGTGATTGGCTGAAAGTCAGCTGTCTGTTATGCTCCTACGTTAAATTTCATTTTTTAAAAAATATCAAATTATGCTTCTGCTTATTATGCAGGAATTCAAACTACGGAGACAGACTTGGACTTAGAGCATCCGACTTACTTCGCTTACTGCTGCCCAGCTAGCATTTATGATATGATCACATTTTATAAAATAATAACCATGGTTTAATGAGCTTATGACTCAGCTGACACACAGAACAGAAGATGGAATGTCTGGAGAAGTATTTACCTAAAAGTGATGGGGATTATTTCGAGATTATGTTCGGCGAGGGTGATATTTTCTTCCCTTCTTCGCTGCTTTCTGTTTTGCTTAAATTTTTAATGTACCATTATTGCATCACCCGTGAAATGGTAGCTCTGAAACTGGGAAAGGGTTGAGGGCCATGCTGGCGACAAGAGCCTCACCAGAAGATGTTTGACTGTTTCACAGTCTCCTTGGCTGAGCCGCTGTGAAACTAAACTATTTTATCCTAAAGAATAACAAACTGTTAGCCAGCTAAAAATAATGGGTTTAGAAAGAGAATTGGACAACAGAAATGCCTAAATATGTTTTAAATCCAGAAAAGCACTTGGGAAAAGCATTGTTGAAAGTCAAAGGACAGTAATAAAATCTTGCATTTTTGAGTGCTTTTCATCTTCAGAGTTCTCTTCATAGAATGCATAATTATTTTTTCACTGAATACCCTGAAGATACTAGGAACAATCATGGTTTTTATTACTGGGAAGGAGAAACAATTACAAAAATCATGTCTGAGTCTCTCTAAGTTTATGGATGATTGCTTTTTATTGCTTTCTTTTAAAAACCTCACACTTTGAAACACTAAAGTACCCTTTATTTTTATATAAATGCTGCCTAACCAATGAATTTATATTTTAAGCTAAATGTCTGCTAGCCTCCTGGGACTCATTGTTTCATTTGTAAAATATATTATGAGTTCAAACATCTACTTAGAGGTATGAAAAGCTAAACCAGGAAAGTCTCCAACCCAGCTCAACCCCTCTCATTTTACAGATGAGAAAATGGAAGTTTGGAGATGTTGAGGTGTAAGATTAGCCAGAATTTGTTCAGCAAGTGACAGAACTTGAGTTCAAACTTTCTGCTTCTCTTGGGACATTGCCCTTTATGTAACACAGTAATATTTCCCTTGAGTTCGGCTTTCTTTTTTAAATGTTATGAGGAAGCTACACCAGATCACCTTGGGGGTCACCCTAAAGAAATATTTGAACAAAAAATTCTCTTAAAATTCCTATATATCCTATTTATGTGTAAATAACTTTATGAATAAAATATTTGAATTACTACACATGTGAAAATACTCTGAATATTTGATTCTCACCAAAAGCTAATGATGATAGGTTCAAGACCATCACATTTGGGGGCGATAATTTCCATTCCTTTTTGTTGTCTTCAATTATGATTGTTTTACTTACTGTTATTGTAACGCAGTGAAGTAATATTTCCTAAAAATATTATTAGTGCTGATTTCCAGCATCTTTATTTAGAAAATTAATATGAAGCCATATGTTTCCTTGTTTAGGTAGCAGAAATTGCCAGTCAAAATATAAGTAGTTCAGTGAATCTTCTGAGCAGCTTCGGTTTCTAAAACAAAGGTGACTGTCCAGCTGAGAAATGAAGGAATTTTGCTCACGAGTGTACGTACGGTGTATCATATTCAGTGATGACGGTCGTCCCAGCTAATCTCATCATCCTGCGTGGATAAAGAGGCTCCTGCAGAGGTCATTGGTGGTGCCATTCTCCTCAGTGGGTTACTCCACTGCTGCTCACAGCCCAGGGTGCCACCTAGGTGCGGTCCAGCTGGAGGAGGAGGTCACTGGTGGCAGCTGGTGGAGGTTCTGTCTCTCCCTGGTGCTCTCACCTGGAGCTCTGCTTCCTGAACTGTCATGAAGTGAGCAGCTCTGCTCCACCACGCCCTTCTTCCTTGATGCGCCCGCCTCAGAGCCAGCTCACCGTGGACTGAAACCGTGGGAACTGCGAGCCAAAGTAACCTCTCCTCTGTTAAGTCGGGCCTGTCATGTGTTTTTTCCCAGCAACAGGGAAGCTGAAGGATCCAATAGTCCACATAGTTGCAACAGAAACAATATTTCCACCTATTTGAGTTTCATCTTTTTTTGGTACCGGAGACCAAACTCGGGTCCTTGTGCTTGTGAGGCAGATGGTGGAACCGCTGAGCTAAATCCCCAGCCCTTGAGTTTCAACTTTATGAAGCTATCATCATTTCTTGAACACATTTTAAGGTTCATTTGTGTCATATTTTACATCACTCTGCATTGCCTGGTAATTTTTTAATGTTCTTTTCACATCCTTTGTTCTTTATATCGGAAATGAGTCGCTCAAGCTTACAATCTTTTGTTCATTTGAATTTAACAGCTAACACACTGCTCTTAGACACAGTGAGAGATAAAAGTGAATACAATATTGACCTCATCACTAAGGATTGAAATGGTGGTTTTAAAAATATCCACTTTATGTAGACCTAACTAAAGTATGAACTTCAACATGAAAAGTGCTGCTACCCAAGTATAAACAGGAGGCACTGGAGGTCAGCAAAGAGGCAGCACCCACTTGGGATTGCCCGGACCCATGTTGATCACTCAAGAGATGGTACTGGTTGGTTGGTTTGCTTTTCATCTTACTTTTCCCTAAAGTATCAGCAACAGGTCCACAACGTACACCAAATATTCAGCAATAGAAAACATTAGCAATGAAAAAAACCTATAGTTACCTGCCTGGCTCTCCTTTATTATCAAGGGAAAATTAATTGCAATCAATTAAATATATCCCCTACTATTTAATGTTGAAAATATAGATTAAGCCTTCAAAACTGTACTACGGATCTGTGTTTCTCTGTTTCTCTTTCCACTTTAGTGCCATAAGTGGCCCCGTAGTTCAAACCAGGATTATACTCTTAGCTTTGCGGCCTGAATCAAGAATATTATCTTCAACTCCTGCAAAGATGTACCGTGAAAGACCCAAGACACACACAAGCCTACATTTGTCATAAAAATTATAGCACTACTCCAAAGTTTTTTCATGCCAAAAAACAAGAATACTGTCAAAAACAATGTGTGTGTATTTTAACGTTTGTACGTTATTTCCTAACATGATACCATTCCACTGGAAAAGGCAAGAGCTTCAGAATTCGGTGTAATTGTGATACCATCTTACCCAGTTATTTGTTGCCTTAGAACAGTGTTTGCTCTTTAGCCATGGGGACAATAAGCAAAAATGGAAAAGGAAAGTGTCTTTTCAGGACTGTTTCACTGAACTGCCAGTTAATCTAATCGAACTGTCTGGAGTGAGAGAATTTCTGATTAAGTAGTTAATCATCTTTTCCAAAATCTTGAAGAACTTTGTACTCCTCTGCTCTTGGCATGACGAAACACTGCACTCTGTTAGCTTTGGCTGGAATGCTTGACAAAGAGTAGAAATGAAGCTGGAAGAATCAAAAGCCTCTCCACTCACACACCCTAGACTTGATTGTCCTAAGCTTTACAGACACATCTTCTGATGCACTTGGTCTTGAAAATAAATGTCAACATCAGATCTTATGCGTTAGAGAAAATGGTGAAGATTCAATGAAGATGAATACACCACACATCAAAATTTGTAGACAGCAGCTGAAGAGAAAAAACAAAATTTCAAATCAATAATATAAATGTCTATATAAAGAAACCAGATAAAAGCAGCAAAAACAAACCTAAGAAAAATCAATATAGAGGAAACAATAAATAGCAGAGAAAAATCAATGAAGCAGAAAACTAAAAAGCTGAAAAAGTTCAATGAAATAAAAGATTGTTTGAAAAGTTTACTAAAACTGACAAATTTACTAGACTGAATTAGACAAAAAAGAGAGAGAAGATTAACCTGTCCAATGCCAGAAATGAAAGGGGGTGGCACTCATACTA